GCTATTGCTACAAATATACCCCAGCGACTTAACACTGCTTTTGTGCTCCAGGCTCACATTTATTAAAGCTTTTTAAAGCACTCCAAAGATGAAATAAATAAATAATTGCATTTAATAACACATAATATATAAATAATAAAAATAAATAAAATATAAATAATTGTATCATTTTCATTATATTTAATAAGTATGCAATAGATAAATAAGGGATTACTGTATTTTTCAAATTCTCATTACATTTATGGCAAAAAATCATGATGTTTATACGTGAAGGGAATACTTGTTTAATACCAAATTTAATTTATGCTGATTTAAAAAAAAAACATTAGTCATGAAAACCTGCATAAATCAGCATATTAGAATGATTTCTGAAGATCATGTGACACTGAAGACTGGAGACAGCTGTCCGAGAAAGTCATGGCTAATTACTCAAAATCTCGAAATCCAGAGTCTATATTTGGATCCATATATGTGATATTTCTTTAAAGAAGGAAAGAAAGAAAAAAACATAGGCTGTTGGCTGTCCAACAACAAACACTACCAAATATTATGTCATACATTTTTTTAGCATGATTTACAGAAGACGCCCACTAAAATGTCATTCAGTGTAACAATCTCGTCAGGCACATTTACAACAAAAATCTATTTATGACACATTAAAAGACTAATTACTTTCACCCCAAATACTAATCAGTTGTAATTTTACATTTCTAAAAGTTGCCACTATCCTAGGTTTCGCCCGTTTGTCAGCAAGAATTTTTACTAATTTAAAACACAATAAAATGTAATATGCTCACTTATCCTTTTATATATTTTAATATGTACACGTCAGAATAAGCATGTTTGAAACAATGTTGCAATGCAAAAATGTTAGATTTCAAAACAGGCTTCTGCGCGATGTCCTGGTGGTGACTCAGCGAGAGTCTAATGTAATGTGGTGTTACTCACAGCTCCACGGCCCATGTCTCCAGAGCCCACGTGTGTCATATGAACGAAGTTTGTGGGTTCTCCGATCATAGTGCGATCTATCCTCCGCCTCCGCTTCTGCAATCACACAAAGAGGGTGGAACAATGAAGCAAGACTCAGGAAGAACGGCTACATTCAACAGCAGCACACACACATCATCATCATCATCATCTTCATCATCATCAGAGCGAGTGTTTGTGACTCACGGGTTGCGGCTGTTCAGCGATGCAGCAGCTGAAACACACCCAGAACTCTGTCATGCTCCTCTCCTTCTGCAGTGACTTCCTCCGTCTGACTTTCTCTTCTCTCTTCCTGTGTGTTTTGCTCTATTGTGCTCTCGCTCAGAAGCCACACGCGTCTGCCGGAAGCTGATTTCAGCGTCTGAACGCACACATGAGAGGCTGGATCCTCCTGAAACACCATCACACCGTTACACACGCACACATTCGAAGACAACTCATCTTTTCTCAGGTCTTTTCATCATTTGGAAGAACAGCAAATAACACTGCTTTTGTCCATAAACATCAATTTAACCATTCAAATAATCTTTAAATCTCTTATTTATATATTTTTAGATTTTTAAATATTTTATTGTATTTATTCACATTTAAATTTAGATTATTTTATTATTTTTAGATTAGAAATTTATTTATAATTTATTTATAATTTTACGTAATTTATTTTAAATATTTTATTGTATTTATTCACATTTAAATTTAGATTATTTTATTATTTTTAGATT